GGCCGCGCGCCGCCGGCGGGGACCGGGAGACAGCGAGGGACACCAAGGACACGGAGCCGGTGCTGCTGCCACATGAAAATCTTGTATTTATTGAAAAAGCTGGCATACGCTCCACGACTGCGGTTGTTATCCCGGACCCGAAGGGTGCGTCAGCCTCCGAGGGAAGAAAATGGACAAAATTAACAATAGGCGCAGAAAGGAGAGGCAGAGACCCCACACCTCTTCATCCCCTGGTGCTTCAGCTAAAGCCAGGAGGGTTTTGCTTCGAGTCCCACATCCGGGAACTTAAGATTTGGTGTGCATAGGGCCAGGATGCAGCATTGTCCCAGCAAAGCCAAGAAAAAAATGTCCCTTTTAGAAGAGGAGGGAAAAACCTTTGGGAATTCGTGGCTTATTTTAGACAAGGCAGGAGATGCTGTAAGCAGATTTGGAGCCCAAGCATCTGTATTTTCTTTTAAAAATCACCTGAAAACACTAAGCCGTGTGGGTCTCCAAGAGCCCTTGCCAGGCCAGGTGGCAAGGGAGGGTAAAATGTAAGATAAAAGACATTGGAAGGATGAATACCCTCAGTTTCACAATGCCAGACACCCAAACTATGCTGGGCTCTTGTCTGTGTTTCAAGGTGACTCTCCCCGTGTGCCCAGGTGGAGGAATGGCCCCTCTGGTGTCCCAGCAGCAGCTGAATCCCTGCTCCAGCCTTTAACGGTTCCAACTTGAGGTACAGAGCACATTCTACACCTGTGCCTTGCCTTACCTGTTAGTCCTTCCCGTTGTTCCTCCTGAAGGGGAGCTGTGCTTCCCTGGTCTCTGGAGAAGGTTCTGTCTGGCAGCAAGAGCACATGGATGAGCCAGGAACGTCCCATACCTGCCCTCCAGGTGAGCCTGGGCTAGGCAGGGCCCCATGTCCCACCTCCCTCTGTGCAGGAACAGCCCTCCTGCTGTCCTGGGCCAGCTCAGCAGGGACAGCAGAGGATCTGCCTGTTCAGGGTCACCTGCTGAGCTCTCAGTCAGGGGACAGCAAGAGCTGGGGGAAAAGCATTCCCAGGCCAGCAGAGAGCTGCAGGCTCTAGAGATGCCTTAGGGGCAGCAGGGCACACACAGATAAGACAGTTTTGCTCCTCAGAAATGTCATTACCTTAGATCACATACAGAAAGCCAGTGCCTATGGTAGTGGCTTAGGAGGTTGCCTGCACAGGGGAGGATATTTTTGCAAGGCAGTGGCTCTGCTTTAGCTCTGTGCTAAATCCCTGGGGAGCTGAACTTCTCCTCTTGCATGCACATCTACAGGTGTTTGAAGCTTTGGTGACCCATTACCACCACAGGCTCTCCTCCACGTAAACCTTTCCTTTCCCCTACCAGCTGTTTCAGGATGGTCTTCTGCAGCAATGGTGCATCTGCTCCTCTTACAACAGCCACTAATTCTCCTCCCTGAAAGGTGTGGAAAGCAAATTGGTCAGCAAGTGCTCAGGTTGTGCTCTCTGGGCTCTGGAATTCCCCACAGCAGCATATCACCCACAATATATGTACCAGGCCCTCCTCCCCTCAGAGCTGCTCTGCTCCACAGCAAGAGGAAAACCTTGGAACAACCTTTTTTCTGCCTCCTCATCAGCCTCAGGATGAAGCTTGTGAGAGGAGAGAGGTCCTGCAAAACCAGCATGCTGAACCTGAAGACTCCACAGGGCAGCACATTGGCTGTATATTCTTATCCGCACAACATTTGATTACCAGCAGATACAGAGCAAATAAAATTGTCCCATCACATGTTAAAGAAATAAAACATCCTCCCAAAAGAATTGTTGTTCCCACCAGCAGGTCATGTTTATTGCTATGCAACCACTGGGAAAGTATTTTTACTCACTGTATAAAAGAGAAAGATAGGCTCACATTGTCCTCTGTATTTTTCCAGAGCATCAATGGAATCAGCTTCAGCCTAAAAGGAATGTAAAATAAAATAGATGTTTCTAGAAAAGCATTTCTGCTCCAGAGGGATGCACACACAAGTGCCTGGACTCAGACATCCTCAGCTGGCTGGTACTCGCCCCCCACAAACAAGGAAACACCTCTGGGTCCCAGACTTAGGGGACAAAATGACACTGGTCAGAACCAGGGGCACAGCCAGCTCCCAGCTCAGTTCCAGTGCCTGAGAAGGAGGTAGAGCTTCTGCAGGAGCTGGAGCAGTGCTCCTGTGGGACAGGGATATCCATTCCCTGCAGCTTGCCTGGGTGAGTCCCAGAGAAAAAGCCTGAAAAGTGAATTCAGGCCTCCTGCCCATAAGGACTGAGATAAGTGCCAGGAGGAGCTGTAGTGGAAGCAGAGACAGGAGGGCTGAGCCGTAAGAAACGTCAGTGCCCTCGGCTCTGTCCTCACTGCAGAGCTGCCACCAGCCAGGAAAGGCACCAACACACAGAGCCACCACATGGCTGAGGCACAGAGGGACTTGTGAAGGGCTCCAGCTCCAGACCCTGCCCAGGGCAGGGCTGTTCTCAGTGATACAGGAGGTTGCTCAAGGCTGTGTCAGTTTTGAGCTTTTCCCAGAATCAGCTCTGCACAGCACTCTGGAAACTTGTCGCAGTGTCCTGCACTCACACTTGAATACTTTTCCCTTCTATTTATTTGGACTTTTCCCAGCTGCAACTTATCCCATTATCTCTTGTCCTGTTGCTGTGTTTCCCTAACAGACATCAGTCTGCCTTCTCCATCCCTGCCCCCACACTGGACATCTGTCCCTTTTCCTCTCCAGGGTGACCAAATCCAGCTCCTTCAGCCTCTCCCTGTATATCAGAAGCAGTATTAATGACTCTGTCTAATGTTACTTGCTTAAGTAGGAATCTGAAAAGCATAGAGTAGTTGAAGCCTGAAAATCCATAATTATAGTAATTCTTATAGATATGCCCAAGCCCCTGTATGTGGCAGGTTCACTCCCAGCAGCTGCAATTCCTGCACTGCTATGGTTCAGATTAAATATTGGAAAGGTAAGTGATTTCAGCCCTTAGACTTCAGCTGATTTCAGAGGACTGGGTATTTCAAGCAGTGCCAAGTGAGATCTTACCACAGCAAAATGCAGGAGATTACTGCCAACTTCATTCCTGACTTTTTGGAACAGATTCACTACTGGTTTGCATGGACCACACCAGGCTTGAAACACATCAACAACTGCAAGCAGGAAAATAGGTCAGAAGGAGGTACAAATGGGTCAGTTTAGACACAGACCAATAGACCACATGCTAGAAGGGCTGGATTTAGCTCTGAACTGGAAATCCTTGCAAGGTTTGAAATGCTGCATCAGAGGACAAAATAACTTTACAAAATAACAAGCTAAGAATGATGTGGAGGAGTCTTAAACAGAAACATGGACATAGCTGGGACCTTGGAGGTAGTAGATTTCCCAGGGAAAACCACTGCACAGAGGTAGAGCACATGCGGTTTTCCCAAGAACCTTGTGAGTCAGGCCTGTTCCTTGTGCTGGAGACAGTCCTGTTCCAAGCAGTGGAGACAGGACCAGCACTGCCTGGATTGCATGATGACTGTCCCATATAAATGAAGAGGACTATAACCTCCTGCTGGTCTCAACTCGCTTAGAATAGTTTTTTTTTCTTCCGTTCAGTGTAAGGGGAATGGAGAGACTGACTAAACATCCTTAGCGCTAATAATTCCTTAGAGTCCTGTTGTCCTTTTAACACAGAACAAGAGCAATTCAGTGTGCTGACCAAACCCTTACCAATGAGTCCTTTGAGACACAGCATTTCTTCCCAAAGCTCCTGGCTAGTAATGTTAATCTGTGTGGAAAATTGAAAAACACAGTAAAAGCCACAGTAGTTCATCAGGTACTATCCAGTTGCTGCAAACATAGGCAGTAGCATCCAGCCATGGGCAAATCCTCCCCTGTTTAGTGGCACTACTGAACAGTGGCTGCCTGGGGACCCCAGACTCAGTTTGCAGAGAGCAGTTCTGGGGATTGGCTGGGATCCCCAAACTGAGATCCCAGACCCACAGCCCCTTGTCAGGATCTCCATCTGCCTGCCCAGCCAGTTGAACCACACCTTGTTCAGGCCCAGTCTTCACAGGGTTTATGAATACCTGATTCTCCAGCACCATTTTTTCACCTTTCCTGCACACAAACTCTTCTATTTGAGATGTTTCAGCCTCGATAAACTAAACTAGTAAATACTCAGGTTCCATGATGTGTGGGCACTAGAGGGTGCATACCCAGCATATCCTTACCTGAATTCCCAGCTGTTACCTAAAGACTTCCAAAGCACAGTGAACAGAGAACACAAAGTTCTAGGCTGGGAGGGGCCTTTGGAGTCCTTCTATTAATCTCCTGCACAGAACTCAATGTTAGATCAGCTTGCTCATGGATTGACCCTGTCAAGGATGCCCTAGACCATGCCATACACAGCACCACCCACTCTATTATCCTACTCTCCCAATTCTGTTATTAGAAAGGATATAATCCTTAGCATCTTCCCCATCTTACAGGACTTGACCTTCAGTACACAGAAAAACACAGCAAGTTAAAATAAAAAAGACTTCTTGAGAAATTAATCTGGTTTTGTTCATCCTGAACAATTAAGATTCCTAATTCCTTCCTTAGTGGGTATTACCAACTCCAGCTGCATTTATACTCCAGTGGAAGACAGTAAGTTGCACCAAGGCCAGCTATTTCACAATAATTAACACCAATGGGCATCAAAGGACTGCTAAAATCTCACAGCCAAGAATTCCAAGAGTGGAAACTCCAGTGCAAATGAAATGCCCTCTCACAGGCACTGTGTCACTAGGGGTCACACAGGGCAGTTTCTCCAGGGCCCTCTCTCATTCAGCGAACAGGATGTTCAGACATCTCATTTTATTTGCCTGTTCAGCACATGACCCCTAGCTTAGTTTTCTCAGAGAACACCTGCAGAACTACAAAATTTAATTATTCCTAGTGCTGGGACCACCCTCAGAGTGTTTCACAGAATCCTAATGAGTCTAAATGATTTATGATAGTATTTTGTGATAATGAATTTGGCCACGATTTCAACTGCTGGACTCAAGTACTGCTGCACTCTTCAAGATGCTTTGCTAATTTGGATATCCTGAGGCTGCTTGGACTTGGCTTTTCTCTAATAAAACCAGACCCCTTCCAGGACATCCCCTCATGTTCAGCTTTCATGTGCAGATATAAAAAAATCGCAGTTTTGTAGATGTAGACCCGGATTTCCCTTCACTGCCAAAGGGGCAGAGTCAAGTTCCCCATCCCACAGGAACACAGCAGCAACAGGAACTCTTCCTACCTTCATAAAGTGCCTGTTTCCTTGTTGCACATGTTCACATTTCCCAGTTTAAACAGTGAATAAACAAGATCATGAGCCCATAATCTCTTTCATTATTTTTCTCTCGTGAAGACTGAACTGCTCTCAAAATTTGAAGCAGACCTGCAGAACTCATTTTTGGTTTCCAATATTTTTGCAACATAAACTGCTCTTAGAACCCCCTTTCTCCCCATCCAGTAGTTATGAAGCATCATTAGGTCATCTGTGCAGTGTTAACAGGAAAAATTCTTCTACACCTCACTGTGAAATAGAATTTTCAGCCTTTGAGTCTTTCTTGTACCTCCTAGCTTCTTCACCTTTACAGCAATCTTTCTGAATGCATGACCTGGTCAGAAATGTCCAGTAACTCTTGCCATCCAGGAGATGTGCCAGCCCCAGTTCTCTACTCCTAAACATCCTCTGAGCTACTACCTCACAAAACGGAGGCATTTTGGTCTCTGACAGCAGCTAAACCTGTGCTAGGCCCCAACAGCCCCAAACACAACCTGCAGCAGCCCCCTCTGCAGCCCACAGCCCTACCTGGGGACACCTGTGACCTGCCAGGTCCTCCCACACTTCCCATCTGCCTCCAGGAACACCTCTTCCCCTCAAGGATCTCGCAGTGGGGCTTTGCTGGCAGAATCTGAGATTCCCCAGGACCAAACTCCATCCTTAGCACTTTCTGAGAGTTTACAAGGTCTGCTGAAGGCCTGGCTACTACTGACCTGCAGCACTACCTCCTTTTTCTTTGCGGCCATCCTTCTGCAGGAACAGGGTCCCTTGAGCAGCTGTCCCAAGCACAAAGCACTACAGGTGGCTTCTAATCACCTGGATCCAAGTGCTGGCCAACCTGCACCACGGAGAGATCTTTTTACCTGTTTCTGCTGCTCCAGCCCAGACACAGCACCCACAGCATTGCCCAGGCCCTGCTGCAGTGCCCCAAACCTGGACACACCTTCGCTCCAAGAGCCGAGGTGCTGCTGTGGGGCCTTAGCTGCCGCTCCCTTCCAGGGCCTTGTGCAGCAGCTGGCAGGACCCCAAGGCTGCCATGGCAGCGCTGGCATCGCCAGGGCAGCGTCAGCCCAGCCCAGCCCACACAGTCCCTCCCCTGTGTCCAGCGCCGGCTGCAGCCCGCAAGTTCAGCTCCATCTCCCCTGGGAGTCCTGGAGCAGCAGCTGCAGGTGGAGGCTTTCTGCCTCCTGTGCCTGCCCCAGCTGCCTGGCACCCCCAGCCCAACTCACCCTCCACTCCAGTCTGCCCACCTCCCTCCTAAACTGGGGGCTCAAAGCAAGGAGTGGGATCCAGGCGTGACCTCGCAGCACTGAGCAAGGGGGACCGCTCCCAAACAAGCTCGGTCTGGGGAGGTTTGTGGTTTTCTTTCCCTCCCTGCAGTGAGAGCAGTGCCAGTGCCCAGCACTCCTTTTAGGCAGGCTGCTGCTCCTACCCCATCCCTTCCCACACCAGAGCACACCGGGCTGCAGAGGTACACCCTGGAGCTGCTTCTTGTCACCCGGCACACGACACCTGCTGGCCTGGTGCTCCAGCTGCTCACCATCCTCCTGGCTGAGCATTCAGGTTTTCGTACATCAATGCCCCCAGAATGTCTCTTTTTGAGGCAATTAGCCTGCAGATTGACTGCCACTGTAAGTTTGCAAACTGACAGCTCTTGTGCTCACATTTCAGGAGTACTGAAGAAAGCTCTTTTAAAGCAATTTTCTACTCTTCAAGAACCTAACCTCAGGCACCTCAATTATTCCTCTGCCTGCTGTGTCACTGCTTCAGCAGTTTTGTGGAGGCACAGCATCCACAGCAATGGGTAAACTCTGTAAAAATACGGGTTTTTTTAAATACGAAACGCTTGCCTTTAGAATATCGTGGCACAAGCTGCTTTACACAGGTTACTTGGCTTCTTTCACTACCACAACACAAATCTGTGACTGGAACAATAGCCACATGATTTTTTATTTGATTTTCTGTGTGGGTAAGACAGTACAAACGTGGAATGAAGCTGGTGGGGAGAGCCAAGGTCACCAGTGTCTGACAGCTGGTGTCCCAAATCCCCTGCTCAACTATTCACTTTGTGGTATGTGTAACCTCTGAAAGGACTCCCATCACTAGACCCAGATATAAAGAGAGGACATACTTATCAACATCCATCAGGATGGCTTTTCAGCAGAGAAATGGCCCAAGAACAGCAGAAATCCTGGTGAGTCATAAGATGTCCAGACAAACTTTGCTTTGGTTCTGTAAGCAACCCTGGAATTCACAAGCTGCTGCTACCTCATTAAGCTGGGAAATCTCTGGGTGACCAGGGAAGTCAGTCCCACTGTGAATCTCAGGCTGTAGAGAAGCTGGCAAAAAGAGCTCATATTTCTTCAGGAAGCTGAGAAAAACCTAGATGTTCTGGTAAAGTTCTTTTTATTTACAGTATTCTTCTTTTTGTACATACCTATAGCAACATCAAAAATTATTCACAAAGTTTAACTGAATGTAAAAATGTTCTCATCCAACAGTTTGTCCTCTCTATACCTGTGGAAAATGCCAACTGTTCTCATGCAGCAACAAGATTGTCTGAGCATTGTTTTTTAGTTTTTCTGGCAGAATTTTAGGAAACCTCAAAACTTGTACAGAGATACTTTTACTCACCTTTTTTCTTAACACCTGTAGGCACCAAAGTTCGATAGAATCAAACAGATTTGCTTCCAGAAATGTGAGTTGGGGAAGGATAAGAAGATATACATAAGAACTCGAGCTCCTAAACACAGACAGGAGTGCAAATGGAGCAGGGAGATAGATGCCCACTGGACAGTTTTGCATTTACAATACCTGCCTCAGAACTTTTTTCTCAGTTCAAGCAAAAATATATTTGACTGAATTTTAAAAACAAGACTTTGCTTCTGAGTACTGAGTTTTAACAAGTTCTCACATATTTTTACTTTCCATTTTGCTCAACCCCCAAAGTCCATCATGAAACATTTGCAGAAGGACGTTAAAAAACTGCCAGTCACTTACTGCAATGCCTGGGGAAAAAGTGTCAGGTGCTCACTTTTATTTGTCTTTGAGAGTGGAAGAAGTTACATGAAATGCAGATATTCTCCTTTGCAACCAAGTGATAACAGTTATCTGATATACAGCACATTCAAATTCCAGGCCAAACTGTGGTCACATTTTCTGACACAAAGAGTTACCTTGGAAAAAAGTAAGGCTGTCATCACAATTTGACCTTCTGATTAGAAATAAAGTATTTAGATAATTATCAAAATTGGTTAGCGAAGTTACAGACTTCTCCTCTTGCTGCAGCCTTCCTGAAGCTCAGTGTAAGAGAAGAAGGATTTGGTTTAAGACATTGGCTGCAAACCCTAGTGCCTGTTAGTGCTATGTAAATACAGTGTCTGGAGAGTCTGACTATGAGCTGTGGTCTAAACTGAAAGGCGACCTGGGCAGAGTCAGAATCCTGAACTGCTTGAGGAGACTGGGAAGCCACTGGGCTGTGCCATTCCAGCCTGACCTCACACAATCCCCTTCACTTGCATTTGTGTTTCCCCCTGCACACTTGCAGGCACCATTTCAGGAATATACAGACAGTCAGGGCTTCTGGATGCAGTCACAGCCCACCAATTATCCAGCAATCTAAATCCATGCATGTGTGTATAGCTGCATATATACAGAAAATCTGTAGCAACATTACTGAGCTATAAAACAAGGCCGAAGCCCCAGTTTTTCCATCCCTTCCCCAACTTAATGCACCCAACTGATCATTTTTGGAAATAATTTGGAAGTCACTTAACTATTTGTGGAGAAAAAGGATGCAAAACAAAAGCAATTCCTTAATCCTGCTTGCCAGCTCCTTCTAGTCTCTGGAAGGTGTAACTTCTACAACACACTGCTCCGCTGATATCTCTGATTAGCAAATCCTTCTGACCATGAATAAGCCAATCCTTCAGCAATTAGCTGACCAAGTTCCTGGCTGGCAAAGCAAGAGCTTATTCCTGCTGATCTTGCAGCCACCTGCTCCTTTCTGAAAAGCATCAGTCATGCTAACCCTGAAGTATGAGCTTGTTTTCTAAAAATGTAAAGAAACCCAAACCCAATCCAGTTGGCCCATTCCATGGATCTGAGCATGTCATCCATACCAGGTGGCCTTGTATTGTGGCAAAGAACTCTTGGACCTTGTCAGTATAGAATGTGCTGCTTGGAATTTGGAGTCTATTGTCTCCCTCTATTTTTCTCTTTAAAAAGGAAGTATAATGTAAGTTAAGCTGAAGTTCAGAAATGCATATATTTTACTTAAAAACATTCATCTGTTCAAAATTCAAAATAAACTTTATGGGATACAACAGTTTGGTTTTTTTTTTTAAATAACCTTTCATTCAAACGGTATATAATTCAAAGTATTCGTACAGCAAACAATGGTTAACCCTTGAAAACCTGTAGAAAAAGATTTTCACACAAAAAAAAGGAAAACCAAAAGTGAGGTCTCACACCCACACACTCAGCCCGGCACACGCACGCACTCGAGCACCCACGCACCCACACAAGGCTGCAGCAAAAGCAGAGAATTGGAGGCCCAAAAGGAAAATGATGACTGATTGTTCTATCTGAGAGTCCAGGTAGCTCAGGAAAAATAATCTCAAAAAACCAAAACAACCCCCCCAGAGTCCTCTGAGTAAAGAAACTACCTCAAGAAAATTCTCAAGTGCACTGGAGACCTGATCATGTGAACTGTTTCTGCAAAGCAGCTCCCTGCACCTGAGAAAAATGCAGCCCAAGGTGACTTGTGCAAATATAAGGAGTCAGGAGTATCTCCTGCTATTCCTTAAGTAGACATGAGGGGTGTCCATAGATTCAATTAGTCTTTGATCATGCAAGGTACTGCTGGAGTGCTGTCTTCGCCCTGCAAGAAAGAACAACCCATTAATTACAGGAGTCTGGCTTCAGCAGCAGCAGCTTCATGGGCAGGCTCAGTGTGCCAGCAGACAGGGAGGGAGGATGGCTGAAGAAAAGGTTCCCTCACTTTGGAAGGATCTGGCCCATGGTGCAGAAATGCTCTGGGTGGGCTGTAACTGTTAAAGAATCCACCTGGCATCCAGGGATAACCTGACCTAGCCAATGACACTGGATGTGGGGCTCAGGATGTGTGTTATATACCCCTTCCAAAATCTTCCAAAGAGCAGTCCCTGAAGAGCAATTGCTTTCTGTAATGCAGGTGTACCGTGAAAAGCAGGTCTTTGAGTTGAGAAATCAGGGAGTGTCAACTCAAAATACACTAAAGGCATACTAGTCCTGTTAGGAATCCTGTAGGAGTACTGGCCTCACCAAAACCTTACAGTGAGAGAGAGGAAGGAGCCAGTCTAATGACACAATTTATGTAATCTTAATATTGCACATTTTTGTTAAAACAGAAACACCTCTTACCAGTCTGGGGTTACAGTTCCATTATCACGTGGGCTAATTCTGTTTCCTCCCACCTGAAGTGAGATGCTTTGCTCTTTCTTTGTCCCCCACAGCTCCCAACCTGCTATCATGACCTTAACAGACTTTTCCAGGATCTGATATAACTCATCAACACACAAGAAGATTATTTATTTGTTTCTTTGCAGCTTCCTGCCGTGATCACCATAATAGCTCAAGGAGGGGGATGGTGTGGCAGAGGTAGGACATCAAAATGTTTCTGATTATCATTTTCAATGCTAATACTCTGGCATAGATTTTAGGATGAGATGCCCTAACTTTACTACAAAGATGTCTAAGAACACTAGAACATCTTTTATAAAACCAAGAATACAAACTTAATGCATTTTAAAAATGCACAGTTTTGAGTTGTGTTGTCTGTGTGTGATATCTTCCAAAGATCAGATTTTCTCCTTTACTTCATGGAAGAAATATGGGCTGTTGCTAACTGTAGGTGGGATAATTGCAAAAGGTTAACATAAAACCCCAGAAATTGTCTGTAACTGTTTCAGTTTTACATGTTTTTGGGAAGCAGCCAGATTATCTGTGTGGATACTAGCACAGGTGTGTGCAAAGTTACTGTTGGGCTTAATTAGTTTAAAATAATTTAATTGTGATTAACAACTGT